AAAAAAAAAAAAGGAAAGGAAAGAAGGAAAGAAGGGAGGGAAGGAGGAAAGAAGGGAGGGAGGGAAAGAGAAATAAAAGGAAGGAAGGAAAGGCAGGCAGGCAGAAGAGGAAGGGAAGACATCTCAAGCGCTTGAAAAAATAGATGCAGGAGCAGAGAACGGTAGAAAGAGTTAAGAATCCTCCTGCCTGGGCAGCGCCTGTGGTTCGGTGAGTAGGGCGCCGGCCCCATATACCGAGGGTGGCGGGTTCAAACCCAGCCCTGGCCAAACTGCAACCAAAAAATAGCCGGTGTTGTGGTGAGCGCCTGTAGCCCCAGCTACTTGGGAGGCTGAGGCAAGAGAATCCCTTATGCCCAGGGGTTGGAGGTTGCTGTGAGCTGTGTGATGCCACAGGATTCTACCAAGGGCGATAAAGTGAGGCTCTGTCACTACAGAAAACAAAACAAAAGAAAAAAAAAACCACAAAAGAATCCCCCTACCCACCTTCGATTATATCTCCTCCTCTCACACTGTTGAGACTCTTGGTAAACCTCAGCAGATGTGAAATGCAGCAGCAGGAGAACACCCTGGTTAGACACTTTTTTCTGCTTCTCCAGGTACTGGAGGGGCCTCGGAAGCCCTCTTGGCCTGGGAGCACAGGGCCCTCCAGGGAGTCCTCTGTGGCTGACTGGCAGGCGCTGACAGCAGCCTGGGCCTGCAGGCCAGGATGTCCTCTGTGGCGCAGTGACACCTCTCCCTCCTCAGACCTGCACCACGTTCTCTATCCCTGTCCCAGAGCAGCACAGTCACACACTCCACCGCACCGCACGTGCTGGAGATCCGCAGAGTGACAGCAACACCTCCTTCCCGCACATCCCAACATCACATCACCACCTACTGAGCCCGCTTTCTAACCATCAGATGTTCAAATGTCCCTCCAACCCCGTCCTCCCTCCTAACCCAGTCCCAGTCCTTCCTTCATCTTGGTCACCAACTGTAGCCAAAGTGACCTTTCTAAACTGTAAATGTGATTCTGTAACTCCCTTGTTGAAAACTCCTCAGACCAAAAGCACAAATGACAAAAGGGGAAAAAACTGGATTTCATAGAAATAAAAATTAAAAACATTTGTGCCCCAAATTG